TGCATGTTTGTATGTATTAAGAGAGTCTTAATAGCGCAACTCGAGATTAGTGTCGTGTCGAATTCACAATTAATTTATACATAAGTACGTTTGTTATAACAAATAAATTTCGAAACCAGCGTTCAGTTTTTCTCAATATAAATTTCACTTTTTTTTTATGACATCGACTAGTTCTCGTTGTTAAATTGTTATTAACATTTCTTGTTTCATTTTTTGTTTCATCTTTAAATAACACTTCAAAATTGTATTACTAGATACAAGATATTACTTTAATGCATATGCATACATATACAGATGTATTATTTTTTTGTCTTTTAATATTTCTAGAAAGAGAGCTATTTAAAGGGCACATTCGGTTAAGCTATAATTATATATTTTTTTGTTTTCTTTTTTATTTTTTATTTAATATGTATATTTTTTTCATTTCTTTTTGTTATTCTCTTAATTTGTTATTATGCATTTGAAAACAAAAAAAAGATATGAAAAAATCTATTGGGAAATTATCAAATGTATATGCAACTTGTAATGTCTCAATTCCATTTCTTGAAAATAGTCACAAATAAATGAAAGGGAGAAAAAATGTTATTAAATCAAAAAGAGTTGTTACTCGATGTTAATACGAAACCAAGGGCTAAATGGAAATAATCAGAACAACCATAGTTAAAAATGTTTCAAAAATCTTTAGCAGCTTTTCTATATTTGTATATATATACAGTATATGTAAATATATATACTCATATATGTATAACTTTTGGGGCATATCAACTGTTTAGATTAAGTTGTCTCAATCTAATCTGATCTATCGTTTTTTATTTTTTTTTGTATATTTTACTACAAGTTTTCCATTTGCTGCTTTTGTTTATCTGTCTTCTTTTTTTTTTTTTGGTACCTACAATTTTTGCTCAACATTTCATCGGCCTGTCAAAAATTTCACTAAACTGGGTTAGGCTTGCCATATAAATTAATATATATAATATTTTTTTTTGCATTTTTTAAATATTTTTTTTTAGTTTTGTTTTTGTTTTTTTTTTTGGTTTTTTTTTGTTTTTGTTTTTGTATACTACAACTAAAGTTTTTGCCTCCGTTACATGCATCCGTAGCATGCGGAGCTTCTTCTGCTCTATGCCGTGGCGGACTTGGGGGTTAATCCGCTCAAACTCAAAATGTGCCTGGATCATTGCACCACTGTACCACTCAGGCGGCAATGTGTGTGGCCGCTGGCAGCACATACGAGTAGATGTGATGGTGTTGCTGCTGCTGTTGTTGTTGATGCGGCTGGTGGTGGTGAATATGCTGGTGGTGGTGCGGCTGATGCTGCTGCTGCTGATGATGATAGTGGGTCAGCGGCGTTGGTGGTGCATTGGCGCTGCTGGGTCAGGTCGCTGTCGGCGTCATTAAGAACTGCTGCTGCTGATGATGGTGGTGCTGATGGTGATGATGATGATGCGGCTGGTGGCTCTGATGAAAATGCTGATGATGTGCCTGCTGATGTTGTTGTTGTTGTTGTTGCTGCTGCTGATGTTGCTGTTGCATTTCGCGCTCTAGTTTCTTAGCGAGCAGATCATGCCTTGATTCCATACCCGCTCCTCTGCAAGTAGTTTGTACAACAATTGATGTTTTAAGTAGCTGTCAGTTGAGTTTCGACGTTTGGTGCAATTTGTGGTTTTGGTTAGTTCTTAAAGCGTCACTCGTTAATATACTCGACATGCATTCGCCAATTGTTTGTGTGTGTGTTCGTGTGTGGGTGTGTGTGTATGCGACTGTGTGGCTCACGTTTTAGATGAATTCCCTCGGGGTATATCCCCAAAACACACAATGAGCACACACACACAGACACACACTTAACCTTTAGCTACAATTTTTATGGTTGTACCGCCATAAGAGTCATGTTTTATATGTAAACAGCATGCAAAATAAAAACTTTCTTACAACAACATGCTCCACTCCAAGCAGCTACCGCTTCAAAGGCAAAGTCCGCCCACTAAAAGCAAGTGCTAAAGAACTTTTTTACGACGCCACTGGCTTCACATTCATTACTATCCCCAAAACACTCACATACACGCCCAGACACACACACACATCCACACAAAGGCGTCTCAGCCAAAAAAACTCGCATAGCATGTAAACGATTTAAATTGATTTCCAGCAAGCAATCAACAACCAACAGCATAAATTTGGTGTGAAAATTTAACACGTTCATTTTTGGGACAAAGTTACAACTTTACTGCAAATAAATTTCGCGAAATTAAATAGTACATATTTAATTTAGGATTTTTTATTGACACAATATGTAATTATTTAAGTGTCTTTAAAGTAGACCACATCAAATAACAGTCATAAAATCATTTGACTTTTTCTTTCAATACTCAACAAATATATTTTAGCTTACTTTGGGATCACACTCCATTGTTTCTTTTCCGTTCAGAGGTTGCCAGCTGAAATTGACTCAATTTGCCTCATTCTTAGTTCAAAGCTAAATGCTCTCTATTGCCACATTAACCTTTCTACATACTCTATCGCCGTGTTTAGATACTTATACTGCATGTTGACTTTCTATTTTCATTTTGAGTATTCATATTGCCATATTCTCATTTTTGATTGCTTTTTGCAAGTCATCTGAATTCGTTTCTTTACGAACTAGATAAACTCAAGTAAGCGCATTATAAAGCAAACAAAATTGCATTTAACTATGGCTAGAAGCATACGTAAAAATGGAAATCCGTTGTCCTGCAGTTAACCGTCTAGCAATTTTTTGTTTAGCAATAACTTTGCCCATCCTATTTATGTTTCTGAATATTTTATGCAGTGCTCCTCTTTAAATTTTGTTGTTTCTCTATGTATGGTTTGTTGTCGGTGCTGTTTCTGTTTGTGATTGCTGCTCGCGTATCTTGGCTGGCACGATAATTGAAAAAATAAATTTATGTGGTCTTTTAGCATTTTAAATACGTGCTGTTGGCGCTGCTGCACGTATATAAATGTATGTGTGTCTCTGTATGTGTGTGTGTGTGTAAAGGTGAACTTATCGTGTTGTTGTGGCTAAACGGAAGCTTGCACTTAAAACTACCGGATGTATACAGCTTTAGACGCGCAGCGAAGCGAGATGATTCGAGGTCGCCATATTAAAGTCTGCAGCAATGTGTACGTGGCTATGTGGCTATGTGGGTGTGTGTGGCTGTGTGTGTGTGTGTATAATAAAGTCAAGTTCTATAAGGCAGCAATAAATTGCTGTGGGGTTTTATGGTTTCGTAAGTTGGATGTGGGTGGGTGGGTGTGTAGTGTGGCAACATTTGTTTGTTATAATTTGTATTTAAATGCCTGCCTGGTCTCAATTTTTGCTGCTGTTGCTGCTGTTGAAGTTGTTGCTGTTCGTATTGCTGTTGCTGTTGTTGCTGTGATGGTGCTGCTGCTGTTGCTGCTGCCATGCAAAGTAAACGAGCCGAGCTAAACAATAACAATTTGCAATTTCATAAATAGTTAATGGGTAGCTTTTTTTTTTGGGCTCCTCATATGTACATAAGGCGTGCGTAAAATTGATTTATGATAAATGTTGTGCCTGGTTTAAAGCGTTAAGGGTGTTTGTGAAATATGGGTGCGAACCCTTTGAGTGGGAGTCATCTCATTTAATATTTAGAGATAAGGAATTGCTGAGCGATAGTTGAGGTTGGCTTGTGAACGTGTATGTGAGAGAGATAGGTAGAGAGCGAGCGAGTGAGTGAGTGAGAGCGAAAGTAACTATGAACTACGATTTACTTTTACTTTTACAAATACTTCTTATTGTACTTTTACTTTAAGGGATCATTGATTGGTTTTAATATTTGTTTATGTTTTTGTTTTTTGTTTTTTTCATTATATACATACGTCTCTAAAGAGATGATTTTGGTGGTGCTGATTTGGATGAAGTTGGTGGTGCTGTAGTGAGTTAACAACAACGCTAGTGGTGCCGGTGTTGGTGCAGCCTGCTGTCGCTTGTAGTTGCTGTAGTTGAAATTGTTGCTGTTGATGCTGCTGTTGTTGTTGTTGGAGTTGCTGCTGTTGCTGTTGTAGTGCTGGTGCATTTGGTGGTGCTGTGGTGCTGATTGTTGGTGCAGTGACGAGCATATTTGTATTTGCAACATGCCCCAAATGCTCCAAGCCGCCATTCAATATATAAAGTTGATGATGTGATGTTGCTGCTGTTGCCGCTGTTGCTGCTGCTTTACTGCCATTGATGAGCGATGGCAGAGTTACCTCATTCAGCATCTTGGTCTTGGCATACTCGATGCGTATGGAGCCGCGATCCGAGCTGAGCAAATACTTGCCCTGCAGCTGTTGCATTGCTTGAGCAGCGCTCGGGGCATCATTGAACTCAATAAAAGCGACAGGATGTTGTTGCTGCTGCTGCTGCTGTTGCTGGCCAGTGTTGTTGTTGATGTTGTTGTTGATGTTGTTGTTGATGCTGCTGTTGCTGTTGGTAGTGGTGCAGTTTGTAGCTGCTATTGCTGTTTGGTTGACAGTTGTGTAGGAAGTTAAAGTTGGTGTTGAAGAAGTCAGAGTTGAAGACAAAGTTGAAGACATAGAAGTTGTGATATTGTGCATACCTTTTGTGTGCATTCGTAGGCGACAAAAGCCAGGCATACTGTGCATATTTGATAACATATTTTTTGTTTTTATATACGATACATGTGGGTATATAGTATAAGTAGTAGTCGGTTATCGGATTAACGTTATTCATGTATAATACAAGTGAACGACAAACCAAAGAGAGAACACAAAAAAATATATATGTTGATTAGTCATTGCAAGTAGTTGAAATTTTCAAGAAACAAATTTTTTTTTTTGTGGAGTGCAGTTGTGGTTGGGTGGTTAGGTGGTTCAGTGGTTTAGTGATGGGCTGTGCTGCTGTTTTCGCTCAACAACTCAAACATTGTAACGTATTTAAGTATGTGTGTGTGTGTGTGTGGGTGTGTGTAAGTCTGTTTGTTTATTGTTTATTGGTCAGGTTCATAGTTCGAGCAATTTATTTACCTAGAGAACACCTCCTTCAGCTCGTGCTCGGACACAAACTGACCCAGATTGGCCACAAACAGTGTGGAGCAGGGCGCATTTGCCGCCAGCTGTTGCTGCTGTTGTTGTTGTTGTTGTTGTTGCTGTGTGCCATTGTGGGTGGAGCCGGCGGGGCTAGCCAGCGCAGGACTGGATAAAAAATGATGATGCGATGCGGCTGCAGCAGCAGCGGCGGCAGCAGCAGCTGCAGCAACTGCATTGCCTTGCGGCGTTGCAGCAGCAGCAGCTGCACCACCACCACCACCACCGGCGGCAGCGGCAGCAGCAGCAGCGGCCATATGCGCCATGGCCGCTTGGCTGGGATGTAAAGCGGTAGCAGTTGTCTGATGATGTGGCATTGTCATTTGAGTCTAAATAGAGGTCACATTTAATGAGTTAATACTGTAGTTAAGTGTATTTCTTGTATTACCCTTGCAGAGGGTTTTATCATTTTATAGCCTAACATGTGAGACGCCAAGAAGAGTATATATATTCATGAACAGCCACGTTAATTTATTTATAATAGTTGTGCTGCTGTTCACAACTTTAGATACTTTTTATATTTTTGTTTAATAATTAAATTTAGATATTATCACTTCAGCACCAATCTGCAAGGGTATGGAAAGCTTTGCGTTGCTTGCTGTACTCACTTGATGCATAGGCTGCTCCATTACTTTGTCTGTATTTAGTCAGAGATAGGAGCGAACGGGCACCTGCGGATGCAGTGCCGGATGCACGAGTGTTGCATGCTGCAAGGCAGCAGCGCCGGGCAGCTCAGCGGCAGCGGCGGCCGAATACGCTAACGGATGATGCCATAGCTCCGGTCCGCCCGGAAAGAAGGGCCCGCCCAGATCTATGAGAAAAAATGGAGTAGAAGTCGAAAAAAACGTGTAGTCAGCTAAGCGGCTAGCTATTCCAATTCTTTCACTTTTTAATGTATATTGTTTATAAAAGTTTGGTTTACAAAATTAAAATCGCTGATAGTGTAAATAATATTTCGAGTTTGTTGCCTAAGTCTTTTGTTTTGGTAGCTGTTGTTGTATTCATTGTTTTCCTTTATAATTCTTTCAGCTGGGAAAGCGCATAAAAAATGATTGTATAATAAATTGAAGCTTTTTTATGTAACTGAAATTGATTTATTAGAATTAACGAATTGACAAATTTCCCAGCTTACTTTCGTCACAAAGTTTATCAATATTTTGGAAATGTTTTAATATATTTGTCAGAACTTTTTTTTAATAGTATCTCACGGATTTTGTGTGTGTCTGCGAGTGTGTGTGTGTACATGTGTTTGGCTGTGTATTGGTGTGTGATTCAAACAAAGTGTTACAGTGATCAAAGTGCGTTGTTGTTGTACTTGTAGTTGTAGTTTGTTGTTGTTGAGTTTATTGCTGTAACCTATGTAAATATTTATAGCGAAATTTAGTACGGGCGTACGATAATAGATAACATTTGATATATAGCAATATTTACGATATATGTTTATAAATATTATAGAGTTGTGCACTTGAAGCAAATATTCAACCGTTCAATTGTTGTTCTCGTGTATGTGTATGTGTGTGTGTGTGTGTGTGTGTGTGTGTGTATACGTGTCATAATAGTTAGGAAGTGCACTGCGTACGCTTTCTAGTACGCCTTCGGTTCGGTAGCTCGAGATTATTGTGTTTTCATTTAGTTTGTAACTAGTTACTACATACATAAACCAAGAAAATAGTTTTTAACCAAAACAAAAAAAAAAAAAAAAACTGTCAGCTGCTGAGTTGAGCTTTTCTTTTCTTTTTTTTTTTTTGTTTATTTTTTTCAATTGTTTTTTACTTACGTCCAGTGAGAGGGTGCATCAATGCAGGATGTGAGGCTGTTGTCGCTGTATTGGGCTGTGGTTTGGGTTTGCTCACTTTCGTGTTACTCTTGGCGAATTCCAAGCGAATTGTTTGGGGCATATCGGGATCGAAGCGTACACCCTGCTGTAAATGATCAGATCAAAATACAGCGGTTTGTATTTTCTATTTTTTTTTTTTTTCACTTTTGCAAAATAATATATGTGTATTTGGAAAAAATTTCAGACGTTTTCTTTGTAAATTCTATTATTTAATTCTTTACTTGCAACAATTCGCCAAAAATAATTTTGAATGTCGCATATTTGTGTTTTGAGAGAGAGAGAGAGAGAGAGATAGAGAAAGAGAGGTGGGCGAGAAGAGTTTACGTTCGCTTTTATTTTGGGGTCTCTGATTTAATTGGGAACATAGAAACCATCTTGCCGCTTGGACGGTGCTTACAAAATTCTGAGTTGCGATTTTGAGTGATGTCTTTTGATGCCTTGCTCTTTGAAGAGGTAATCGGGTTAGGTACGGGGGCTCATATAGTGTATGTGTGTGTTGGTGGGTTTTCTTTTGTGATATGCACATAAATCAAAAGCAGGAGATGAGAACAGCAACTGCATAGGAAGAGCACCTATGAGTGGAGCATTGAAGGGCGTCATTCAAGAAATTTGGTGGTGGTGCCTAAGGGTAAAGGGGGTGGCTTTAACATGCACCAGCCAAAAGATCGTGGTCTAAAATAATTTATTTTTATAATATATATATAAATATATATATATATATATTTTTGGGTTTTTTTCTTTGGTGCTTCATTGCCTCGTTGCAGTTGCTATGCATATAGATGACAGAGTGTAATGTGATGGGTGTGTGTCTCTGTGTATATGTGTGTGTTTTTCGACAGAAAGAGAGAGTAGAGAGAGAGAGAGAGAGAGATATATAGTAGATTTCTTGGAGGCGAGATGCAATACCAAAAACAATAAGATAGACAAATCAATAAGTATAGACTTAAACGTAAATGCGGTGAGGGTTCTTTTCAAATGCAAGCACGTGTGAAAAGGTACATCTTGTTGCTGTAGTTGTTGTTGTTGTTGTGAGAGATACGATTTGTTCTTGTTTTGTTGTTAAGGGCCTAACGATTCTTAACGCTCAGTGTAAGCCAGGCAATAATACGAGTACAAGTTAATTTTTGTTTTTGTTTTTGTTTTTGTGTGCTTTACAAACTAAGTGTATCAAGTTTTTTTTTGGAACGCCGCAAAGATTGTTTTTATTGCCATTTGGGAAAGTCTTTTTGCATTTTGCAGACGTTGCTAAGAATTTGTTGGTGTTGATCGATTATATATATATACATATATATGCATATAGTTAACATTAATATATATAAGTATCAAGTTTGTAGGCATTCAAGTTGAGCAGAGAATTTGCCATTGTATGTTACCTGCAGATCCTGCTTGGCTGCCTCGGCACCGGCTCTTGTATGGAATGTCACGAAACCAACTGGCTGTTTTTGAAGATGGGATATATTTTATAAGTGAAGTTGCCCTTTGGTACATCTTACATTTTGCATTTACTTACCGATGCTGTTTTGCCATTTTTGCTAGTTACTTTTAGTAGAGATCCTTCGTAGCCCTGTTGAAAATTTGACAATGTTTTCACAATTTAAATAAGCATAGTATTTTCAAGCAATTTTATATTAAATCATAATAAGTAAAGAGCTTCGCAGTCCAACTTAAGCGCTTTGAACTGACCTTGGTTCTATTATCAACCCATTAGAGTCCGCAATAGTAACCCTTACAGTTGGAAAGCACTTTAGGTAAGTTTATAGATAGTTTTCGAGTTACGGATTACTCACCTCATAGGCTCTGAATAGCAAGTATAGCTCACGTGGCTTAGCGTCCATGGGCAAACCACTGACGAACAATGTGCGCACCTGCAAAAAACAAAGGAAAATACACATAGAATGAGTTTGAGTGTGTGAGGGAGATGATATCCATAGCAAATCTGTGTAAAGATTTGCACAGAGTTTTTTGTGAGAAACCAATTTTCTATGATTGCGTAATTAAGTTAAAGCTGTCACGTCGCATGGGAGGATACAAAATTGAACCAGAAACCTTTTGGCCTTCATTTCAATGTGTCAAATATTTAAATTCGCTGCCACCCTAAAGCCCAAAAGTTCATGTCACGCACACACACACACGCACACATATACACACATGTGTGTCTGTGTATGTGTAGTGATAATGAAAGCAAATGGAATAAGCGACATAAACGCTGAATTCATTAAGGCAACGACGTGACGCGCACCAGCCGTAGATGTGAGAGAGAGCGGAGTGAGTCGTGGAGAGGGGAAGTGAGGGAGAAAGGGTGATAGGGAGAGAGAGAAAGGCAGGGACGGGGGTCTAATGAGCCTTGTCGCTCTTTTTTGTCCCTTTTTATTTTTAACACCTAGCCAAGCAGATTGTAAAGGGACGAAAGCTGTGTGAGCTGTTTTTGGTTAAATTCTATTTTGCTTTTCTATTTTTTTTTTGCATTTTTATACCCTAACCGGAAGGTACGAGTAAAGTCTATAAAATTGTTAGTGGCTTAAAGTGAGCAGTTAAAATTTGTTCAAATTTAAGGGTTTGATACACTGAAAGTTGGATTGTTTGAGACTGTCGTTGCTATAGATTTTAACTTATTGAAATAACTCATTAAATTTTAATAAGCAAAAGAAAAGTTATTGGAGTAATTCTACATTGCTAAAAAGACTATTTTGTTGTAATCGATTGATTTATATGTTCTTTTTTATTTAAATTATAATAGTAATATTGGTATAAGGAAGGAAGTATATTTTAAGGAAGGGACTTAAATAAATATTTAGAAAAATTGAATGCAATATTTGTAGCGTTTCTTCATTTGAACGTCCACAAAAAAATATATTTTAAGTAAAAAAAAAAAATTAATAAAATTAATAGTAATAATTTACAGTATTTATCAACCTGGTTCAGGCAATGAGTATTACCTCGTCGAGCTTTAAAATACTGTTGCCAACGCAGTTGCGAGCAGTTTTTGTGATGCCTTGTGGGGATATGCATTCTCCAGAGAGTGACAGATGTCCCGTTAGTGTGAGTGTGAGTGTGGATGTGTGTGTGGATGTGTGTTAAAATTAAAACGTGTTCTATCGTGAAATCTACCTATTGTTATTCATCTGGGAGACAAGCTATATGTAAAAATAGCTAAACATATACAACATGTAGCACATTAATAGTCGTTCTGGAGCTGCTGTTGCTGCAGTTGTGGGTTTTAAAATTGTCCAGCCGCAATTTACAAATTAATTAACTCACTCAAGTGCTGGGCAGCAGATATAAAACAACAACAAGAACAATAACAGCAACAAGATGAAGGACGAATCCTTTGACGTTGCCAAAAAGGATCTGCATGGTGCGCTCAGTTAAATAGCAATTAAAATTAATTTTTGCGCAGTCTGCGGTTGCAAGTTGGTCGCGTCTCCAACAATTTTAGGTCTCCACTAATTGGACGGGTAATGAGCTGAGCTCGCTGCCGCGATGTACAAAGTAAAAAAACGTTTAAAAGAATAGGCCAACGAAAAGTTGAAAGAAAACTGAGCCAACCAAACTAATTAGAATGAAGTTCTGCTATCCGTCTGAAATTTACTTGTGGCTACAATTTCTGTTTCAAATTGGATCCAAATGCAATTATTTTATATTTCATGTGTGTGTGCACGTGTACTTATTTGTTGTGTTTTGTTGTAGCTCAAGTTGATAGCAGGTCTCGGTGCACAAATATGCCAACAGCAAACAACAGACAATAGACAAGCAGACAGTCAGACAGGAAATGGGAGTCTGCTCGATGTTCAGTTGCATTGCCAACCACAAAAGTCAGTTAGCCAAGCCAAATCAGCCATAGACGGTGGCTAAATGCTGTTTGTTTTGTGTGTGTTTTTGGCCACTGCGGATACACATTCAACATTTTGGCAAACACAACCAGAGTTAGTTTCCCCACAGTTCATCCAGCTCCCATCTTCCATTTATATGCAGCTCGCAACATTAAATTATTGTTCAGGTTGTCTGAGTGTGTGTGTGTTTGTGGGTGTTGCGGCTTCTGCACTCTAACTTTGCTTGCCAAATTCCATTTAAATATTGTGAATGTCATAGAGTTGCAATAGCTGGGACCAGTTGTTGTTGCTGATCAACCTTGCAACTTGGCTGCATGAGCTTGCCAATGACTTCGTAGCAGCACTCTGTGTTTGTCTTTGTGGTTGTGCAACGTCTGTTATTATTGCCAAGAAGTTGAAGTTGCAGCTGCAACACTCCACCTATCTTTCTATCTCACTCTCCATCTCTTTGTTTGCGTTTTGCCGCAATGTGCTTGCCAGACCGTTTATATTCCGCTCGTTTCGCATTTGTTGTTTATAATTATGCAGAACTTCATTTGGTTGCCATTATTAATATCATACGCAGCGCAATAAATTTATTACTTTTGTACTACAGCGGTAGTTGGCTAATTAAAACGCATTGGATGCAAAGCTGGCTCTTATTTGAGAGCTACTCCCAAAGTTATGAAACATTAGTGGTTTTAATATACAAAATAAATTGCATGGCTACAGCCATAAGACAAATAAATCGAATATTGTTTGATAGACTCATTAAATAGTTACACAATAAATAAATGAAATTAATATTTGTATTCAATATTTTCACAAATATCTTTCAAACGAAAAAATTTAATACATATTTTTTTTTGTTTGTTCAGTTACTGTGTACACAATTTTAACGCAATAATAAATTCGATTTATCTGAATATCTTTGAATAGATGCCAAGCGAATGAAATATTTTAAATTCTATTTTTAGTCAGTTTGGAAATTACAATTCTAATTTTCAAAAAACAACTATAAGTTTCATATATGCATACATTGCGCATACGCAGTGTTGTTGTATTGGTCAAACACTTTCCGGTCGAAAATTAAATGTCCAAGCAGTAGTTGTTGGCCTTCTCTTGTCTTTTGGCCAATTGTAAATCACTCAGCAGTCAAGAATTGACTTACAATAATTAAGCGTGACAAACACACACTCAAGCACACACCCAAATAAACAGTTTACAAGACGATCATAATCGCTGTGTTGCAGCTTGTGGGCGCGCCCAGGTAGGCAGGCGGCTGAGGTAAGTTTTGGAATGTGCAGCGTCGTCTAAAAGGCGTTAAATTGTAAGCGCTTGTAAATTGTCAAGCAAACTGACAAAACAACACACAAAAATAGAGAGGCAAAAATAAAAAATTAAATAAAATAAATGTTTGAATAGAGCTCGCCATAAATCGTTGCTACCAGCGTTTGCAAATATTTAAATAGCTGCAGTTGTTGTTTTTGTTTTCGTCTGTTGCTGCAATTGCAGTTGGTGCGTGTCAACGCCAACATCAATAATGTAACATTGAAACAACTTTTGCTGTTGACATTCATCGCTTCGGCGGCGTTTGCACAAAGTGTTTGCGCACACTTTTTCCTATAAATAGTTGGCAATTAAATTCATTTTGTATGCATTTATGTGGCATTTTGAATGGCAGTCGAATTATATAGATAAAGTTACGCATATCAAGTCAATCAATTGATATGGGATATTATGCTTATTAAACCTCTCAGTCATGAAGCATTCGACAAAAATTGTGATATTTAAGTCAGAGCCATATTTTATAACATGTGATAGTAATTAAAGAATATTTCAACTGGTTTTTAAAAGTGAAACATCATTGAATTTCATTTCAAAGAGCATTTAATGTTCGTATGGTGACCGATTTCTTTGACAATTTAAATACATTTTGTATGTATAAGAAGTAAGTATCGAAAAGCCACGGCAATTATTTGCATTTATAAACGGCTTTCCATTAGCGGCCAACTGGTTTTGTTGGCCATTGATCAACTTCTGTTATTAATTTCGCAGCCCATCTATGTTGGAAGTCAATGCCACAAGGCCCGTGTACTGTAAACTGTATAACAATAGTCGGCAAGTGAATAATTCTTTTTAGGAATCTTGGCCAACAATTTAGTAAGAACAGCTAACAGAGACCCAGCAGCCAACGCACTCTAGCGGCCTGATGCCAATTAAGTCAAGCGTCAAGTCAACTAACTGCCGCCAGCTACTCAGTTTGCTGCAGTTGCCATTTGTTGATGTTTCCATTGCTGCAGCCATACTTGTTATTATGTTAGTTGCTTGTTTATTTTGTTTGTGAATTGCCCTGCTGTTTTTTCTATCTTCAGACTAACTAGCTGGCGAATCCTTAAGCAAAGAAAAGAAGTCCCGCCCGCAGGCGGGGAAATGTGGACAGCGACACAAGAAGTAATTGGCAATTGCTTATTGTTGCACTCTCCTGGAGCAGAACAAGGGTGTATGACAGCAAAATAATGGGCGACAATAAGAAAACAATTCTATTCAATTAGGAAACTATCAACAACGATATGTGTAAATACTGCATATGCATCAATACAAAATCAAAAATTTCAGCTATTATTCCCAATTAAATGTATACATGTCAATTAAATGTAACATATTTAATATCTCAGTTTAAAGATTTTATTCTATACAGTAATCGATGACAATATTGAAAACAGCATTTTCCTTAACTTGATAATTTATTGTTCTTAATCTAAGTATTTTGTACATCTATATTTCTAGCATAAAAATGCTATGGAATTTAAATAAAAATAATTGAAACTCTTTTCTTAAAAATGTTATGAACGACTATTCGATAATTTTATAGCATTGTAAATCCATTTGAACTTTTGCTTCATATACATTTATTTTCGTATATCTTTTAAAGACAATTGTATTTCTGGACTGTAAAATTCATAAGTACAAGAAGGAACTTATCACTAGGGCAGAGGCATAGACTTATTTCTAGTCTGTGTGCGTTAAGTGAACGAATGTGGCTGCCTCGTGCT